TAACGAGAAAATATCCCTTGGCTCAAAGGGATTAAAAAACCTCGACCTCCCTCGGAGGAATTTTAAACAATTTCACTAAAAAACGTTTTGTGGTTACAAGGTAAATTCTCCTAATCTACCCTTGAGTCACCCCAACTTTATCCCTCTCTAGGAATAGTTATGCATCTCTACCTTGCGGGTAGAGAGCCTCTCAGCTTTACAACAAAGCTCTCACACACACAACCCCAACCCGAGGAAGCTACACTTTAGCCTTTCCTCAAACTTCAATTACAAAATAAAGAAGAGAAAAGAAACTATATCTAGAACTCTGTAAGCAGGTCCAGGTGCCTTGGTCTTGAAACTCTCTTATAAGTATTTCTCTCTATAATTGTTCAGTCCAGCACACCAGCTTCTCTTGATCTTCTGTCATATATATAGCTTTATGCAGCTCGTCTGTTGCTCCTCTTTCCTTAGTTGGTTGCTTGGTAAATTTATGGACTTGCCTATTTTTGAATTGCATCTCTCCATAATATTTCTCATATTCCATCTCGAGATATGTAGGGTAGTCAAATTAAGATACTTAAGATATTCTAATCACGCATACACGAAAGTAGCATACCAATTACGGACAAGGAAATTATTTCATAAATGCAATGGATCAAATATGGAATATATTTCAAACAAGGATTACTTTTTAGATCCGTATAGCAAGAGAAAGAATTCACTTAACAAGTATAACTTCCAATTATGCACTCACATCAAATAAAGATACTTTCCATAAAATATTTAAACAATATTTTTAATGAGTGGATATCAAGTCAAGTATGGAAAGATAATAAACACCCAAAAAAGCAAAATACGTATATATAGAGTGGACATGTATAGAAAGATATTTTTGCTTAGAAATAATAATCTTGAAAAAATATATAAGCACTCATCTAAGGAAAGTATATCAATCAAGTAAGCGCAATCAATATTAATTCGAGTCATATCACGGAACTAGAATTGGTTCTGCATTAGTTCCACCTACATGGTTAGTCAATAACATACTAATAATATCCATTTGGTCTTGAGGATAGTTATGTCCTTTGTTTCGTAAGGAACTGTGAACGATTCCGTCCGCCGTTCCACCTGCAGGTTAGTCATCAACAAAACAACATACTCAACACTCATCCCTCCTCATCTTCCTCCTCCTAATGCTCCTCTATTTTCTTATTCTCTTGTATTTTTACTATTTTCTAATGATTTATTTGTTTAATTTTGAGTTTCGAAATCTCAATTGCCGTTTTAGACATGATTTTTTTTATTGAAAAGTGTTAGGCTCCAATGCTGATTGGTTATTTAAATAGTTTGGATCTTAGTTTTTTTATTAATTTTGATTTATTTGCTAAAAAATTGACATAAATTTTACTCATACTTTTTAATCTAAAAATGCCAATTTGAAAAACAACGTCATTTCAAGAGGATGACAATATGTTAAGAGTCAGTGTTTCATCATAAAAGGTCAACCTTATAAAAGGAGTAATCCAAAATCTTATACGGTGATTACTGATTTATTATTTTAAACAATCCGGTGTGGGACACATACTTTAACATGCCCTAACTCCCACTCCAAACTAGATTGGAGAATATTGGGCTGTATAAATGAGCAAAAAGAACCCAACAAGCAGGGGCGGATCTGGTATAGGGCTAGAGAGGGCCTAGGCCCCACCTCAAAAAAAGTTACTAGTCTATATATATGTGTATGTATTATATATGTACTGTGAAGTAATGGTATTATTAAAACAAACGTCCTAATGTAAACAAAAGCCGCGTCGGTGTGATGGTAGAAACTTGACTGTGGAACATAGAGGTTCTGTGTTCGATCTCTGTGGGGAGTAGCAACATTGTTTTCATATTTTTCATCCAAGTCTCAGAACATGCTATTTTAAAATTTTAGTATCTTCCCTTACATGAATCAAGTCTGAATATTTGACTTTTGAAACTAGCATGCAAAAATTAATTAGACCAACTAATTGGGCTTTATTAGCCTGAAAAACCAATTAGTTCAATCCATTGAGCTTTTTGAATATTGTCCTAAAAATTAATTAGTTCAATTCATTGGGCTTTTGAATATTGTCCGAAAAATTAATTAGTTGAATACATTGGGTTTCGTAGGTGAAAATAAGTTTTCTTTACATTGAGTATAGATTTTAGAGTAAAAAAATCGGTTTATCTGATTTTCGAGAAACTGGTCTAAAAATTAGCACTAAACATTTGGGTAACCGATAAAACTTCGGTTCGATATCTATGACTTTTATGATAATTGTATTGTCCGTTCTGTAATATTTACTTTATTCTTTGACATTTCTATAATTTACATTTTGACTTCTAAGATATTATTATACTGTACTACATTTTGACATTTTTTTATAATATACTAGTACATAATTTTAATAAATTTTGGCCCCACCTAAAAGTAAATGCTAGATCCGCCCCTGCCAACAAGCTACCCTAAATCATGAGTGCTAAATAACAATCAAACCCTAAAGCGGACATGTCTCTGACATCATGTCAAGACTCGAAATTTTATCCTAAAAGGTCAACCTCGTAAGAGTAGTAATCCAAGATTTTATATAGTGTTTTATTGTTTTTATATCGTTCTGGTGCGGAATAAACAATTCATTACACTATGACATTAGTAAGTCAATATTATTAATGTAGAGATGACATTGTAACTCATATTTTGTGTGTGTTTGCAAAGATGCAATTAAGATGGCATTACGTTGATAAGATGGCAATTCCTCTAATTGTCTTCCTAAGACGGGGATCTATCCCAATCTTGCAAGATGAGGCGATGGTGGTGGTGGAAGACGACACGGTGTTGCGGTATATGAGACGACAGATGCACAATGTGAGGAGACGATGACATGAGAAAAGGCGGTCGGCGGCGATCACGCCTGATGAGGCAACTGGTGACATCAGTTTCATATGCAGCGGCCATCGACAGTGAGTTTAAATGTTGCGGCGTCAAAAAAGGATATACATGAAGGCCATGGAATACGCGACGGTACTAGATGGCGGCACGGCAGATGAGGCGGTTGGTGGCACCAGAGATGGTGGTAGTCACGCACTAGATTTAGCGCCACCATATGTCCGCATGCTCTATCTCTATAAAATTTGTTTTATTATTTTATTTTATAATATTAGTATTAACAAAGAATTCAGCCTTTTCATTGATGTAATGTTGGCAACTTGTGTCTTAAATAGCACATAAATGTTAAACGGGAAACACGAGAACGTAATTTCCAAAATATATAGGATACGAAACGTGGGGAAACATGTAGTTGTTAAAAATTTAAGGATACTTTTTTTTTGTAATGTGAGCCACGAATAATTTTTGTGCTTCATAAGTTCATAGTTCATGTCTTTTAACAAGTCCTACTTTTGCATTTTTAACTATATTTTATTCTTTTAGTGGTGAATTACCCCTAGTTAGTTAGATATGGTACAAAAATCAAATGAGGTTTAACACGTACACGTTTTACTTGGTAATATGAACTAAAAACAATCAAGAATTTGTTGAAAATAAAAAATGTCTTTTTAAAAAACATGTAAATACATACTTCCTCCGTTCCCTTTTAATCGCAACAGTCAACATTTCCGATCTGTTTGTCAATGCACAAGTTTGACCATTAATATCTTTTATTTCTTATTTGTAAAAAATTTAAAAAATTCATATTTTGAAAATTTAGAATGAGAAGAATTTAACAATATTTTTAAAATTTAATTTATAATACATTAATTAATAAAATATAGTCAAAGTAGAATATGTGAATAGTGCAAAAAGTCCGATGTTGCAACTAAAAGAGAACGGAGGTAGTATATGTCTATAATGCAATATCTGTTACAAAATATAATAAAAAGAAATCAAACTATACATATATTCGCTTAGCAAACCTCATTACTCATCAAAGAATAATTCGTAATTGCACAAATCGATGACAAAAATGGAGTAATCAAGTCTAAAATATAACTCAACAAAAATAATGTAAAAAATAGTGCATGATAACAATAAAGTGGGACCAAGATAACACCATCATCTTCATCAAATAACAATCAAGTTAAACTAGGCATCTTCATCGGAATGGATGACATACGATAAAGTTCTGTGGTTGCTACGTTTATTACGTAGTATTGTTCATGTGTATAAGTTTATACTAGAAAACCTTAGGTTTTGAAAACTCATAGTTTTAGGATTCATATTTGGAAAAACGTCTTAAACCTATTTGCTAGTATTCTCTGTTACTCCGTATAATCTTTTGTGATAATATCTTTCACCAATATGCATTTAACTTTAGTATTTAATGATTGTATATATTATTTTGTAACAACTCAAAAAACACGAGATCACCGAGAGAAAGTTTTCCTTTGTGCATTTAAAGTGATTATATTTTAAACTATTGTTGATCCTCTAGGTATTTAATGTCACACTCGTGTTTTATTCATGTTTTTTTTTCAATTCATGTTTTTATTTTTTTGTAAAGTACAAGAAATTTAGGATTTATTCCATTTTTTGTAAGGTATAAGGAGGTGACATTTTCCCCTTTTAAACGAACTGATCTTATTTTTGCTTTAGATGTGTTTTTTATTCAGAAAAGGGGTACATGTTTAAAATTACTACGTAGTTAATTAACTATATAATTTTCTCATTATCATCAATAGGTGATCGATAATTCAGCTGTTTGGCTATAAAATTAATAGAAAACGTCATTTTTCAAAACACCAACTCAAAACTCTCCTATTTGCAGCGTTTCCATTTCAGCGTTTCGTTCAAAAATGTTAGTGCTGAATCGCTATTTACCAAAACGTTTTCACTTATCAAAAACGCCAAAAATGGTCAAATCTTCGTTTTTGGGGTGAAAAGACATTTACCAAACGCCTCCTTTAATCTTTAATCTTTATGTAATGCTTTGAATGACGATGATCGAATTGAACTTCAAGTCTTCAAGAATGACGATCTAAGACACAGAAGACGAAGAGGCAGTTCGTAGTCGATTATGTGTATAAATTATAGCTGCCATTAATGAGAATTTGAGCATATCAGTCATATACGCACACATCTGTAGTCTACTAGTCTTCTCTACATTTAAAATGTTGGATGCTTTCCGGAACTGTAAAATTATCTATCCGCCAAGGTTAAACCTTTCCTCTTACAACCCCTCCTGTCACATGATGGACTTCATCCTCCATCACATGAACTCTGTATTGGTTGAAAACCTATCTTTCAGAAGTGCATCCCCCTCCTATCACCCCTACATTCTGCGTTTATACTTTGGCATTCTCTTCTGGATCCAGTCTTTACGCGCTGGTTTCCATGTTTCTGCCCTTTCATGCGACCAACACCAATTCTTGACCCTTTTCCTCTCCAACAACCCGCCGGAGACTTTACCCATCGCCAGCCCTCTGCTTCTCCTCTTCAAAACACTCTGTTCTTCACGACCCGAGCTTTCCAACTACGGGAAAGTCTACCCACGCCTCCCTGTAAATCCCGGCCCGGAGAGGAGAAGTCAGTTTTTGAAAGATTCCTTGGAGAGTTACTTTCTCCCGAACATCCCGGGAATCTTTGCCCTTCTGGAGCACTTGAATGGGGAGGTCAACGGTCAAGAACCGCGATACCCGGCAAAGGGTGACCATTTCCCGGTGAGGGAAGGTGCCGGTGAATCCGTTCTTTTCGGCCACCACAGTTTCCCGGTGGTGGAAGAAAGGACTGAGTTTGAGAAGTGGAGCTTGATCTCCCCTGGCCTGCAGTACCCCTGCGAGGCCGACCGGAAGCTAAACGAAGCATTTGCCGAGCGCTACGATGACTTTGACTTTCCGGCCACCGCCGCCGACGATGATCTGAGTAAATACAACAGCTATTTCAGCATGAAAGACTCGATGGCTTGGTTTGTTCAAGTCAAGAACGTCGGTGGAGTTGTTGCCGGGTTCTTTGAAGGGTCTGGAACATTGGCTGATTGCGAACCGTCGTGTGACGGCGGCTGGATGGTAGCTAATCAAATAACCGTTGAGATTATCAGAGGAGGAATTGCGCCGCCGCCGGCCCCTACCCAGTCTGCTGACGTAAGGTCGCTTTATGAATTTAGTTTCAAGCTGGAGACTTGTGCCCGGAAATTGCCGCCGCTTGCGGAGGCTGTCGCTGCCTGCGCCCAGACTCACATTAGGATGTTCGGCGATCACCCTATGTTCGCCGGCTTCGGAGAAGTCAAACCGAGGGATGGACCGTTGTGGGAAATCCGGCCAATTGAATCTAGCGCTGTCGACAGATCATCTTACCTGTCAATTGGGACAGTGGTGGCAAGAATGATGAAGACGAACAGCCCGGCTTGATTTGTTCTTTTTTCACATAAAATTAAATCAAATTTAAATACTCCGTAACAAATACCTTCCAAAACAATTAAACAAGTATGGCCGGCTAATGAATACCTTCCAAAACAATTAAACAAGTATGCATTGCACGGAAAAATATTTCTAATAAAAAAAAATTATAAAAAGAAATATTTAAAAATTTTGACGAAAAATCAATTCTTTAAGGCAATATATATGTCAATATATCATAAAATCACAAAATTAATTGTGACTAAACAAATTTCAATGTATAACATAATGTATATGGAGTATGTTTTTGAATTGTATTTGTGTACATTGGACTGTTTTTGAAACGAATTTTATAGTTTCAAAACAACCCAATGTACACAAATAGACTTCACTTGTCCGGCTTGTATATAAAAATAAATATAACTATGGTTTCTCACATGAATGATAATCATTCATCTTCTGCTTCTCATTATGCAATTTGACATCTTGTTCTCCACAATTTTAATTAAGGTTCTAATAAATTAAGGTTCTCTCGTGTTCTTTTACACACTTTTGACTCGACGTCTTCTCATACTTGAATTGAGTCAGCGCATCATTGAAAATCAATTTTCAACTTCCAATCTAATAATTTTTCAACTCATATCATTTTTTATTTTCTAATTGAAAGGCGTATTGAAAGCGGTTGTTCACATGATATTCATTGTTTTTTATATCTCAAATCATATTTCAAATGAGAATTTTCTCTTTCAGATTTTCAACTTTGACTTCATAATTACAATCATTAGTACCAATAAATTTGGTATATTCATTGGTTTTCATATCTCAGATCAAATTTATATCAATTTAAGTATTTTGGTACATTCATTATTTGTCTATTTATTCGAAGACTTTTTAAGAACATATATGTTGTTACACCATGTCCCTGAAATATTACTCAATTCGGTAATACCTGAATCAATCCTCAAATATGTGACTGCAAAGGGTTTCAATCGTGATAGGAGAAACCAACATTTGATGTGTATCACATGATGATATAACTCGAAGGTTCAACTCTTGCAGTTTTTGAAAAAGATAAGTATAACATACTACCTCCGTTCTGAAATAAATGCAACACTTTGACTTTTACACTATTCACATGTTCTACTTTGACTACGTTTTATTTATTAATGTAATAATATTATTTTATGAAAAAATATTGTTAAACTTGTGTCATTGTAAATTTTCATAATCTAATTTTTTTAATTTTTTACTAATACAAAATCATTTATATTAATGGTCAAAGTTGTGTCTCGACAAATGTGAAATGTTGACCGTTGCATTTATTTAAGAATGTGGGAAGTATATGTTATGGTTTATCTTTGTTAAAGTTCTCTAAATGAGGAGCATAACAAATTAAAACATAATTTCACAAAAAGGAGCCCCCTTATTTTCTTCGGGATTTTTTTATTGTTTTTTCTTGTAATAGGATAAAATAATTCATATTTTGTGAAGAAAACACATTTAATCCTATTTAAGAATTTTGCCCATTCATTTTTAGTCTTATTCTGAGCAATATTTTTCAAATCTTTATTCCCAAAAGTAATGTTGAGACAAAAACTCTTACCCAGAGTGTATTTTACAAAACTTTTTAAATAGTAAAAAAAAATTAAGAACCAAAACCTAGAGAGCATAAATACAAATTCTTTTATGTTTGGGAAAACTATAAAATAAGCCTCTGTACTATACCGAAAAAGTCGATTAGGCCCTCGTACTTTACAAATATTCAATTAAGTCCTCGAACTATTAAAAAGCGTTCAATTAAGCCCTTTTGGTGGGTAAGTAACCGATTTCCCGGTTAAATGACGATGATGGCGACGATGTGCTCGAACCCCAGCAACGGCGGCTTCCGGGAAACATGTTACATTTAACCGGGAAACCGGTTACTTACCGACTGAAAGGGCTCAATTGAACGTTTTTTAATAGTTCGAGGACTTAACTGAGTGTTTGTAAAGTACGAGGGCCTAATCGACTTTTTCGGTATAGTACGAGGGCTTATTTGATAGTTTTCCCTTTATGTTTCTATTTAATTAGATTGAAGTAATTAAATAATTTTTTCTATAAATACACTCGTAAATCTCTGACGGTTAACTTCAACTTTTTAAATATAGTTTGAGGATTATATTTTGTGAACAATTCAATAATATAATTTTTTCCCCTTTATTACACCAAAATAACTTTTTTTAATGGATCAAAATAACTATTTAGTGACTTTAACTTATATTTTCTTGAAACATTTTATTTTGATATAGAATGTCATTTGTTCATATTTTTATTACCACAATTTCGTGGTTATGCAAAAAAAGTTTTTTGACCGGTGGTTATGCAAGAAAGTTAAAAAATTATAGCTTAAATAATATGTTGATCACAGGGTCAAATGCATAAATGCTACCTTAACTATTGGTAATGTTGCATTTTGGTACCTTAACTCTTGAATGAATCAAAACGGTACCTTATCTATACATAAATGTTTCGAATTGAAATTTTGTTCAAATTCTAACCAAAAAATCACATGTGGCGGCCAGAATTCTATGCATAAATTTTGATCGTCATGAATGATTTTTTTGTTGGAAATTTGAATAGAATCTCAATTCGAAATATTTATGTATAGTTAAGGTACCGTTTTGATTTATTTAAGAGTTAAGGTACCAAAGTGCAACATTAACGATAGTTAAGGTACCATTTATGAGAATCGAACCGTTGATCACATATGGCAAACTCGAATTTTTTTAGATGACACACACACATATACTACTTCCGTTCTTAAATAAGTGCAACATGTGAAATTTTACACTTTTCACATGTTCTACTTTGACTGCATTTTATTTATTTATTAGTTGATATGGACTTTTTTTGTCATAAGTAATTGATATGGACTTTTTTTTACGATAGAGAGCATCCTATTTAAAATGAAATCATTCACTTACTCATTGTGCACACTTTTTAATTAGTTGTGGATGAGATGACGGTGGCCATTGGGATGAATATTAATATTCAAAAATGCTATAGGTACCCCAACCTTTACCCCAACTTATACCCCATATATAAACCCCTCCTTTTTACAATCTTTTTTACCCCCTTTCAAAAATATCTAAACATACCCCCTCTCTCTCTCCTCTACCCACTCTATTCTCTCGCCGAACTCCTCCCCCCTCTTCCCTTCTTTTCTCTACTCCATTCTCATGCTCTTATTTCCCATCTTCTTCTTCCTTTTTTTCTTCCTCTATAACAAGGAACAAAATAGAAGGCAACATGGCCATATCAAGCAGAGTCATCTCGTCTTCAGCTACTCCCTCTTCTATCGTTTTTTCCCATTTCAAATGTGGGAGCTATAATGCTCGAATGAACAGAGGCCGTTTTGGATGCAACCTCAAGGGAAGACAACGACAACGGTGCAAATCAAGAAGCTTTGAATGACTTTAGCAGATCTTCTTTTCTTGTTTTTGTTTTCTTGATTTTTCGTTGTGTTTTCGAAATAAAAGGGGTTGTCTGTCTGACAGACAACTTGTAAGTGCAGTGTCTGTATTTGTTAGTAAGACTCGTGAAGTTGTCTGTCATTTGATTGTTAGTTGTCTGTATTTGTTTTGAGTTGTCTGTATTTGTTTCAAGTTGTCTGCCATTTGTTGTGAGAAGTCTGTAAGAGTCGTGAAGTTGTCTATCACTTTAAAAATACATGTATGTAACTCATATTTAGTTGTTTGTCATTTATTTTGAGTTGTATGTAATTTGTGGTTTGTATTTTTTGAGATGTAATTAATGCTTTATGGTTTGTATTCTGAGTCATTTTTTGACTCTATTTTATTTGATGTCCATAACATGTTTGTTGAAATGTCTCAATGAAAAGAGTTGTCTGGTATTCCATTTGATTTGTCTGTAACGTGAAAATAGTTGTCTGTCGTGGTATTTTGAATATTATGTAATTGGTTTGGAGTTGTCTGTTAATCTAATTTGAATTGTTTAAAATTGGTTTATAATTGTTTGTCATGTGAAAGTAGTTGTCTGGCAAGACATTTGAATTGTGTCAATTTATTTGGAATTGTTGAAAATAGTTTTGTAGTTGTCTGTCAGGTAAAATTAGTTCTGAGGCAACCCATTTGAATTGAATTGCAACAAATTGTCTGTAATGTGATATAAAATGTCTAGCCTTTCTTCTGAGTTGTCTGTCTAGAGGTCGGGAGAATGTGGCCCAGACTACTAAATTTTTGTAGTTTTGTAGTTGTCTGTCAGGTAAAATTAGTTCTGGTTGTATTGGTAATGTGAAGACAAATGTGGTGAATGAATTACATATGTAGTCTGGGACATTAATAGTCTGGGACAATTAACTATCCTCTGTCCTACAGCCAGACAAATTTTGTCTTGGCCAGACATTAGTAGTCTGGGCCAATTAAGTACTCTTTGTCGTATAGCCAGACAAATTTTGTCTAGGCCAGACATTAGTAGTCTTGGCCAATTAAGTACTCTTTGTCTGGGTATTTGTGGTATTGTTTGTATGTGTAAAATTATTGTCTTTCTACGTGAAAATAATGTGTGTATTGTTATCTCTAATGTCTGTATAGATATATGTATTGTTTGTCTATTCACGACAAATAATTTGTTGCAATAAATTGACGGACAACTCAAATGGAATGTCAGACAACTACTTTCACACGACAGACAACTACAAACCAATTTTAAACAATTGGATTTAACGTGCCAGACAACTAATATGTCTTGCTAGACAACTACTTTCACATGACAGCCCACTATAAATCAAATTTAAACAATTCAAAATAAATTGACAGACAACTCCAAACCAATTACATAATATTCAAAATACCATGACAGACATCTCAATATCATCACAGAGCAATCTAAATATACACAACTACTTCACAATTTCACCAGAAAGACAACTATCTTCACATTACAGACAACTCAAATGGAATGCTAGACAACACTTTTCACATACATACAACTACAAATCAATTTTAAAGAATTCATTTCACGTTACAGACAAATCAAATGGAATGCCAGACAACTCTTTTCGCTTCATAGACAACTACAAACCAATTTTCAACAAACAAAAATTCAACAAAAAAGCTATGAGAGCATTCCACTTCCAGAATCTTCATCTCCTCATCGTGTAGAGACAACAAGGGCAACTCTTTCCAAGTTGAGCAGCAAATGGGGCCAATGACGCTGCCTTATTTCTTCACATGTGCAGCAACTCTTTCCAGACAGACATCTTATGTAAGACTCTACCAATTGTGAAACCATGCTCAGCTAGACAGACACTGCAATTCAAATTTGTCTGTCAGACAGACAACCGTTTTTCATGTGGAGTTGGACGAAAAAAATACCAAAAAATGAGGAAAAAGACCATCTTTGGCGTGCGAGGGCTCAGCTGCTCCAGCCGCTAGCTCCTCTTTCCGTCCAGTCGCCGCTTGCTCTTCTCTCCGCCACAACGCCGTCTCTCGCAGCTGTTCCAACACTGTCGCGCCGCTGCGAGGCCTCTCACAACTCCTCCAAAACCGTCGCGCCGCTGCCAGGAAGAAAAAAAAAGGAAGAAGAAGATGGGAAATAAGAGCATGAGAATGGCGTAGAGAAAAGAAGGGAAGAGGGGGGAGGAGTTCGGTGAGAGAATAGAGTGGATAAAGGAGAGAGAGGGTAGGTTTAGATATTTTTGAAAGGGGGTAAAAAAGATGGTAAAAAGGAGAGGTTTATATATGGGGTATAAGTTGGGGTAAAGTTTGGGGTACCTATAGCATTTTTTATTAATATTTTACATGCACGTTAATCGAAGGGAATACAATGAGCTGCGAGCTTGGACTGCATGCATTAATTGATACGAAAATGTTTTCCATGAACATTGCCGCTTGAATTAATTGTTGAATTGTTTATGCAGGAAGTTACTCCGTATTTCTTTGTTGGTAACTTACGGTGAACAGTTTTTGGCGCTAACTTCTTGAGCAATAATCCTTTTGCTATTATATTTATATAGATTGAATATTACTCCCTCCATCTCATAAAATTATTCTCACTTTCCTTTTGTGGGCTCTCTAAAAAAATTCTTCACACTTACCATTTTTGGACAATTTATGTGGTTCACATTCATTTCACTTTTTTCTTACACAACCACAATCATACATTTCCAGTTTCTTAATCTCCGTGCCAAGTCAAAGTGAGAAGAATTTTATGGGACGGAGGTAGTAATTAATTGTATTTGTATTTGAAAAATATTCGAATCAAAAATTTGATTTGTATTCGTATTCATATTTTATGCTCCCTCCATTCTTTTTTAGTTTCAACTATCAACATTTCACATTTGTCAACTCACGTCTTTACTTTGAATATTTGTAATGAAATGAATTGAAAAATATTTTTTTAAAAAATATTTTTCATAAAATAATAACGTAAAATGTAGTCAATGTAGAGCATGTGAACAGTTTAAAATTAAACATGTTGCGATTAAAACGGAGCGAGGATATTACATTTTTTTAGAACTAGTAATACAGTGTAAAAAGGAAGAGTATGTGGCACACAAACAACAGAAATGAATGTCGTTAGCATGCATTATACAGACTTGCATTATACAAACACTACATCAACAGTTTAAACTCATAACAGACATAGATTATAAATCTATACTGTCAGATGAATCTAATTACATGTGACTAATCATCACAAGGCATCAGAGTCGTCGTCGTCGTCCTCTGTCAGCTCTGAACCATCATTCTACCTCCTCTTCTTCATCTTCCTCACGTGTGTTAATGGCAGTCATTTTTTATACATATTTTTGTATTCGAATCATAGTTTTTGAATCTATATCATGAATCAAATTAAAATTATGAGCCCGTTTGGTAATAGTCAAATCAGTTGTATTGGTTTATTCTGCTGAAATTTATGAAGTTCTGGCATATGTGGCTGTATTGGCCGATTCTGTTGATTTGTGAAAAATAATACGAGTAATTTAAAATACATTTTATTAATAAAATAAAGAAAAATTTATATGAAAAAATAGTTAAAATGGCCTTCTAGAGTAACTTCAGCTAGAAAAATAACTTCAACTTTATTTTTTCTTATTATTACACAATTCAGTCCTTAAAAGCAAAATTTACGTGTTTGGTGAAAATGTTGGTTTATAAGCCTGAAAAGCCAAAAATTACGGCTACCAAATGGGCACAATATGTTTCGTGTATAACCCTTATTTTGTATGATACTTTTTATTCATTATAAATGAACCTGGAAGGTGTATACATAAATATATATAGGTTATACTTTAAGAGTATAGCCAAATTTTAAAAGCTATTATAGTGTTATTAATATTACTATGACTACTATTAATATTATTTTGCTATTATAACTATTTTATTATTATTAATCCAATATATTTGATCAACATTCCAATCAAATATGGTGATATTCTTATTCCATATGAAACAAGTAATAGTTTGATGCTTTGGTGAGTTGTGTTGGGGTTTATTTCTTCAAGATCAATGCCCAACGCCTTCCATTGGGCTCTCCTTGGATGCTGTGAATTTACAGAGCAAGGAAGAGCAATAGTGCGGAAGTCGAAATTGAGAGAGGAAGAAGAAGATTGAATAATGCGTACTGAGTAGGTTAAAATATACAGCATTTATACAAAAAGGCTGTAATGTAAAAAATAAGATGGGCTGGTATAAAAGGCCCAATAAAATAATAAAAAGCAGTCCAGTCCAATCCAGATGATTATTCTTTAGACGCCCCCTCAAGATGAGCGTGGATATCTAACATGTTCATCTTGTTTGCAAACGACTGAAGAGTGGATTTCCAAGTGGCTTTGTGTAGATATCTGCAAGTTGACAATTATTAGGAATGTGTTTAAGATTAATAAGTCCTGAATTAATCTTTTCTCTTATTAAATGGCAATCTAATTCAATGTGTTTAGTTCTTTGATGTTGAATAGGATTGTGTGCAAGATAATAAGTAGATTTATTATCTGTGTAAAGAGTAAAAGGTAAAGAAACTGGAATTTGTAAATCCTGCAAAATGTAAGTAAGCCATTGGGCTTCACAAACTGTGTTTGCAGCAGCCCTATATTCTGCTTCAGTAGAAGATCTACTGACAACAGATTGTTTCTTGGATTTCCAAGAAATCAGTGAATCACCAAGATAAAAACAATAACCTGATATACTTCTTCTAGTATCAATACATGAACCCCAATCAGAGTCAGTATAAGCTTGAATATTAAAAGTAGATTTAGAAGAGTAAAACAGACCTTTTCCTGGAGAGCTTTTAAGGTATCTTAACACCCTATGTGCAGCATTCATATGAATATTAGTAGGACAAGATAGAAATTGACTAAGAGTTTGTACAGAAAAAGCAATGTCAGGCCTAGTAACAGTAAGATAAAGTAATCTGCCTATTAAAGTTCTATAGGATTTAGGATCAGTGTTAAAGGAGTACCATCATTCTTTGAAAGTTTTAGTTTAGAATCCATAGGAGTAGAAAAAGGTTTTGAATTAAGATATCCAAAATCAGAAAGAATATCAAGGGTGTATTTTCTTTGATTTAAAACTAGTCCATTTTCAGATCTGGCAATTTCTATTCCTAATATATATTTTAGCTTACCAAGATCTTTAATAATAAATTTGTTATGTAAATAGGATTTGACAGAATTGATCTCAT